ACTTTACCTGAGTAATAAGACAACTTAAGATGTACCCTTACCTGTGTTGGTCGTAAGGTGCTTTGCTCATCGTGAGATGCTTTACTTTACCTGAGTAATAAGACAACTTAAGATGTACCCTTACCTGTGTTAGTTGTGAGGTGCTTTGCCTGTGTTGGTCGTGAGGTGCTTTGCTCATCGTGAGATGCTTTACTTTACCTGAGTAATAAGACAACTTAAGATGTACCCTTACCTGTGTTGGTCGTAAGGTGCTTTGCTCGTCGTGAGATGCTTTACTTTACCTGAGTAATAAGACAACTTAAGATGTACCCTTACCTGTGTTGGTCGTAAGGTGCTTTGCTCGTCGTGAGATGCTTTACTTTACCTGAGTAATAAGACAACTTAAGATGTACCCTTACCTGTGTTGGTCGTAAGGTGCTTTGCTCGTCGTGAGATGCTTTACTTTACCTGAGTAATAAGACAACTTAAGATGTACCCTTACCTGTGTTGGTCGTAAGGTGCTTTTGCTCATCGTGAGATGCTTTACTTTACCTGAGTAATAAGACAACTTAAGATGTACCCTTACCTGTGTTGGTTGTAAGCACCTTACCTATGTTAGTTATAAGCACCTGTTAATCCCAATTATCTCTTCTAATTAGAATGGACCACCCATGCGGGTGACCATTCTAATTAGAAGAGATGATATAAAAAAGCCCTATGCTGCAATAAAGGGGGCTATAAAACTGCAATATCTCTGGGACCCCAGGCTCTAAGTCATTTCATGTGTTATCGCACAAGGTCAGTGTGACATTTGTGACATTTGTGACTGGCGTGATACTATTAATAACACCTGTGTAGCCTGGTACCCACTATGAACTGCCAGGTTTACTGAGACAATAAGATGTGACACTGGTATGTATTCACATTACAAAGAAAGCTATCATATAAGCATACTCTGGTATGAATAATAATAATATCAAACCTCCAGGACACAACACTTATGATATATGTGACGTAGTGTGACACATTTCCCAAAAAGGAAATTTTCACCGTTTGACTGTATGATCATCGAGGATGTCACAGATCGTCACAAATCCAAGTTGTATATTTTGACTATACAAACAACTTTCATTAAGTGACCTATACTTACAGCTGAATAATTGTGCTAGCACTGGCTAATTAATAGCTGATCTATATCTAATCCAGTGATATCTCACTGAGTAGATGACTTTTATAGGAAATTGAAGCAATACCAGGGGTGCCTAAATGATAAGATTAATATCCTGGACAATCAAATGTTATTAGTATAGCTATATCGTCTCATGATGATTCATCACCTATATTGATACTGCAATATCTCTACCAATCCTGCATCAAGTCAGATGATTCTTGTACTGGTAGGTAGGTCATAACCTAGTGCTCATATGCTCTGATTTAATCATCGTCCTATATCTTGAGACTATGATATTACACTGTGTTTCTCTAGTTTTTCATATTTCAAATTTGATCAGACTTAATGATCACTTGATATCTCACTGGAAAATCCACGAATAAGCCTAGTGCAAGTTGTGCTCTGTTCCAAATAAATGGCCATCGAAGATATAGGAGCTCCTTATGATTTTACATATTATATTTACCTCCATATATGACATATATCCTAACACACCAATCTTCCAATAACTGAATTAGAAGTGAGGGATCCCCAATGGTATAAGGGTAGGAAGCATGAGAAGGGTCCCCCTATAGGATTACACTTTTCACACCATATTATATGCATGAAAAATCTTGTTATTCCCCGTTCTAATAATGAATAGTACTGCACATCATATTAGCAATACAGCTGTAATCTGCTAGTTGATTATAGATCAAATATATGCAAGTTGGCAAATGAGGTGTATAAATCTACCCACATACTCCGATTGATCTACTACTGGAATTCCTGAAGGCACTATAAGACCTTAGAGAAGTATGTCTCTGACTGCAGCTTGCAGTTTATTGAGAATAGAGCCCTGAAAAGAGAAGTAGAGGAGATCTTGGATGCCAGAGTCAGGTATAAACAGCTTAATTACTTTGTCAGGTAGAAAGGCTATGACATGTCATACAATTAATAAGTACACTTTGGGCCATAGTGATAATATTTAGCTTAAAAAGCTTTAGGAATAGCTAGAATAGTGGTAGTCTAGAAATCTAAGTATTTCTAGTCCCTATGTTTTAGTTATATAATCACTATTATATTATTATTCATTTAATTATTTTCTGTCTTAAAATTACCTTAATTTTGATGGGGATTGTCATCTTTAATATATATGATTAATGTGGAGTGAGTTTTTATGACCATTAGTAGGTTTGATCACTATGTCAAGCTATATCATTTTGATCCCAATTAGAATACAGGCCTTTTCCACTACATGCCAGGTTATTGGCCAGAAGAAAAGGAGTTAGCATTACTGTATAATAGTATATATAGTATTTTCAACATTATATCTATCAGTTTAATGTATTAATGACGCATTTCTAAAGTCTTTGTTAGCTGAAAAAATTCTTTCTAGAGTTTTATGCTACCCTTATTCAAGCTACTCCTAGAGCCTAGACTGATTCTTACACTTGCAGGTGATACTTTGACCATATCTTTGCCCTGGATGAGGTCAGAGAGTTTGATAGGAAGTATGCAGGTAAGCCACAGCACATTGCCTCTACCACCTTTGATGTAATACTCTTCTGGTTTCAAAGGGGTGGGTGATGTCAGGAGAACCTCTCTTTTAGCCTCTCGGTCTCTAGTAAATAAAGGACTTATCAGTGTCTTGTCAATATCTTATATACTATTGAAATATCTTATCATAGGCTTTATTACAAACTTCTAAGCTTCCTATAAGAAACTTATAAGTGTCTTGTCAGTATCTTATATAGTATTAAACCATATTAGATTAAACATAATAAGATTATTAAAAGATATTATAAGAGCCTTATAAGACTATTAAAAGATATTAAAAGAGCCTTATAAGACTATTAAAAGATATCAAAGGAGCCTTATAAAACTATTAAAACATATTATAAAGCTGCTCATAAAGAGCTTATAAGTGTCTTGTCTGTATCTTATATACTATCAAAACAAAACATATTATAACAGTGACCAAATGTCTTTGTAATCAATTTAGCACTGTCACACTTGTGCTTGTGTTCATAACATGTGACGTTAATAGGAACCAAGTTCCAAAATACAATGAGCACAACAAACCCCACTGGGCTAGGGCCAACCAATTCTATAGAGTATACAATCTGCTGCTAAATTGACAATGCATCAGGCCCCTGAAGGATTGCCTGATTCAGTCTGGCCAGTCATTCAACTCTGGCTGTGCATCTTTTTGGTAAATGTGAGTCTGAGAGGACCTGCAGCCACTGTCTACCAGTGCACAACTTCTGCACCCTTCACTAGTCTATGCATTGAGACACCACATTCAAAGGGGAGGGTGATGTTAGGAGAACCTGTCAGGGGAAGTCCCCTTTCGGCCCCTCGGAGGCGTGTCCGATTCCGGTCTGATTCTGGTTCCGACTCCGGTCCGGCCCCCCATCTCGCCCGCACAATCACCGATGCGTTAATGATCCGTCAACGCCCTCCCAACGGTTGCCCGGGGACCTTGCCTGCTACGCCGCCCAAGCCTTCTGTGCCCAACGGCGGCAGCTACGGACAAGCAGTATATAGTCAGCTACCTAGCAGGCGGACCCTCAGAGTTTCTTCTCTTTGGATCCTCCCTGCTAGGTCAGCTTTATTCGTATTTGCTTACCAATATTCACGCTTTGGATCCTCCCCTGCTAGGACCTTGATCTCAGGCCTCCGGGGTTGCCCTTACAGAACCTCCCTTTTAGCCTCCAGAGACATCTCTGTCTCCAGTAAATAAAGGACTTATAAGTGTCTTGTCAGTATCTTATATACTATTGAAACATCTTATTATAGCCTTATGAGACTATTACAAATTCTAAGCTTCCTATAAGAAACTTATAAGTGTCTTGTCAGTATCTTGTATAGTATTAAACCATATTGTATTAAGATTATAATAAATCAGCGGACGAAATTAGTCATAGACGATTACTCAGGTACTCGTAATCAGGGCACGTGCGCTCATTCCTCAGACTTGCCCATTGCCAAATAGCAATCTCCTCCTCGTCTCTCTCTCTCCAGCCCGGGCTGCAGTACCCCCGACTTTTGTGCATCACCATACTTGGCCAATCGAAGACCTTGTTGGAGCCCCGGCTGATGCTTCCCTTGCCACCACGATCCATCGTTACCAGCGACAATCGGCGTGTCGTGCCGAAACTGTCCTGGTTCCACTTTCCTCTCCTGTCAAACGCGCCCGCCCCAGCCATCTAGCGTGTTAGGAGCCTCCCTTCTTTTGCCCGGGGACAAGCCGGAGAGATACGAGATTGGCTCTGAAGCTGAACCTTTAAGCAACCCTGCCGGTGTTCGCCAAAGTCAGCCAGCTGTAAGCATGCTCTTTGCTTTACCGCAGCTCAACATATGACAGGATAAAGCTATGCAAGCCTGGGCCAAAAGCTTTTGAGACAAGTACCTTCAAGCTATGTTATGGAGAAATGGACGTGGCAGGCAGTCTGACCTGTGTGCTTCTCATTCAATTGCGAGACCTGCCACGGCATGGTTTGCGCTGAGTGCTGTGTTCGAAAGCATGAAACCAACCCAACCCATTTTATTGAGGTAAAAATTCCTATCGCGTCGATCTTTGCTGATCTTCCGATGCTAGAAATAGACTGGTGTCTACTCCGTAAGAACCAGCTCACGCGATTGGGCCCTTCGAATCCAATTTGGCCACTTGCTTGGACAGACATGTCCTCTTCCCGAACTGGCCGTCCCGACTTGGTCATAATTATAATTGCCGACAATGGCATTCGCGACGTTGCGATCGACAACTCTTGAAAGCCGGCTATTATCCTGCAACGACCTTCTCGCGCGAACGTGCGCCACATTCTCTTGTCTTGACAGATTTCATTATCTGTATTTGCGTGCAAAAATGACGGCCTACGACTATTACTCGACATTGGAGTCGCTAACCGATGGCTTGGGGATCAATCCACCGGACCGTCACTCCATCTTTTTGCGAATTTCTCGCCAGTATCGACACCTGAGGCGTGATGGGAACTGGGCCGGGCGAGCTCGCCCTCAAATGTCCCGCTTGTCCGCGGCCAGGTCCACCTATCCGAATGATGGGAAGATGCTCCTCCAGGAGACCAGTAAGCTGGTTGCATTTCTTCCGGCAATGATAATCTGATCTTCGTTCAGATGCTTGTGCATCATATCATGTTCATTGCCATGAATGCCTGCTTCCGCCTCAACGACCAAACGAGCTTCGAGACCCTGGTCTTGGAACGGGTTGGCGGCACATGATCGAATGACATCCCTATCGCGAATATCTGTTGACGGTGACGGACAAGCAGGAGGTAACGTGTTTCGTTTCCGACAAAATATCTTCGACTGATTGCACTTGCAGCGGTCTTGCGGCTCTGGACCGTGCAAATTCCAAGTTCTCCCGAGGCTATAGTGTTACTGGTGTTGGTATGGGGGGTTTGCGCAAGGGACGAATTCGTGCTTCCTAATGGTGTAGGTGATTTGCAAGCGGGCGAGCGGTAAGTCGTCTTACAAGAAAGTGAGTCGCCTCTCATACTTCGTCAGCTACAGCAACCTGGACTGCATCTTCGCTTCCTTCATGCGCCGCTTGAACTCCAGACTCCCCAAGTTAATCTCCTACGACATCGTCTGTCCGTGGATGAAATATCTGATTGAACGCTTGGCCAAATTGCCTCAAAGGGCAAAATGCACATCAAAGGTCACTTGATCCAGTGCCAAATCCTGTTTTCTCTACTTTACATTCTCGGTTCGGGTATGACGGACGGCGAAAGTATTGAGCGCTAATGGAACATGATCGGTGGGGTTGCAGGCAAGCACACCGCGTCTGTGGACCTGGCGCTCGATGGGATCAACTCGACGACTTGGAACTGGATGAAGACCCTTGGACCGGGTGAGTATCGTCTGATAATTCGCGTTTTGTTACTCATTGGCATCTGCTAGCGCTGTTATTACTGGACATGGCAGCGGAAGAGTGGGCGAAGCAAGAACAAGACATTGACTTTAGGCGACAACTTCGTGCCCAATCTCTCTGACGCAAAGTCTGAGGGTACGTTGTTTGACTTTGAGTGGTCGACTAATGCTCATCTTGATCAAGGTTGTTGGGAAACGCCGTATGCAAAATGTTCAGACAGAATTGGATAAAGCGGGAGCAGTCCCCATTCGTGATGTTTCCCTGACCAAGTTCATTACAGCGTTGCTGGGACGCTGAAACTGACCAGTGCGTGTTGTTTTTGTCTTGGGGTCTGTTTCACTTCTGATCGTTTTCCGCTTAGGCGGCGTATTCGTGGATTGGTGGATTTGAGGAAGACAGTAGCAACATCAGGGAGAGTCAGTTTTCGGCGACTGCGTCGAAAGCTTTCCTCCGGGCATTGGATGCTCAAAGAATGTTGCAAGAGACACTGGCCGGACGCGTACCTCTCTTCTCACCTTCCGCAATCCCACGATTGGATCGCGGCAATGGTGGTTGCCGCGAGGGTTTGGTGGAGATCAAGCACGCCTTACGAGATGCTCAATGTTGTTCTGCTTTGACCCGTCTGCAACTGCAAGTGCATGTCAAGTCTCGACTGCTCATCTACACACGGCAGCACTCGCACACTCATTCGCGGACACTACACCACCATCCGAGTCAAAGCGTTAACCATATACCTTGGTTACCCTCTAGTGCCGAGGTAATCTTGCTTTTTGAGGAGTACCATAAAATATCTGTCGGGCCATTAGTTTCAAGTCGGATACTATACTGATGCACACACCTTTTCCATTCATCGTTGCTCGTTTCCGTCCGAGTCCCCGTATCATCCACCAGATTACCGACATGGCCGCTGCAAAGACCGCCAAACGACCCGTCCGTCTCTCGAATGTTGCTTGTGTCAACGATTTGGGAGGGAGTAGCTTGTTGCTGTGTTCTGAATCGTCTTGGAGTTTGTTCTGTAAAGTCTCGCTCACTGGCATTGTCGTGGGTCACAATCCTTTCTTCAGAATTCGATGGCTCAAGCACCAAATACAGGGCACACCGGGGTTTCGCGCACCTGGAGCTGAATCTTTGTAAGAAATCATGTGCCAACAATCACCCAATTGTAGTTCATACTCTAGGACCAGGATATAGAGCATACACTGCGGATCTGCAATAAGCCACCATCTGGGACTCGGCCTGATAAGCCGATCTGGGACAGTCCGAGTCCCAGATGGCGGCTTGTTATTTTAAAATAGTTGGCACCGTGGGTTCAAACCCACCTTTTTGCCATTTTTAAATGCAGTAGTAATTATTATATTTCTCAATGAATTCTGAATATAAGAAGATGATTTGGATATCAAAAAATCAACAGGGTGATTTTATCAATCAACTCCAGACATCAAATTCCCATATACGGACCTTTGCTAATCAACTTGCATATTGCTTGATTATGTCAGTTTCTACTGAGAAAATTTAAAAAAAAAACTTTGACTTTATATTGGACTATACAAGGACTCAACATATATAAATTAGGTGCCCACTAGAATATGGCCCCAGCAGAGCTGCTCTAAACAAGAACAAGAAGTGACATTCAAGTTAATGTATATAAAATGTCATTCATGCTCTGCTCTTCACTTCTGCCCCATAACAGAGTGAAAAAAATCTGGAGCTAGAGTAGTCTCTGGGGGCTCAGAATAGGGGGGGAGAGTTCCCCTGACATAGATGGGAAACATTACTGGTATTACTGTAGCATTTTATTCAGTTTGTATGTCACGTGTCACACTAGCTATAAAATTCGAAATTTTTGGCATATCACACTATTTTGCTCAAAATCCCCTTCTGAAAAGGCAATTCTTGACATTTCCGGGCGCCTCCAGTGCCAAGGATTTCCTACTTGAGAAATAATTTAAACTTATATTTTCATATTGAGTGTCACACTACTTTTGGCATTTGAATTGAATAAAATACAACAGTATATAAAGCTTTGGAATTAAGCATCTAAAGAGAAGAAACTCTAAGGGTCTATCTGCTAGGAAGCTAACTATATACTGCTTGTCTGTAGCTGCTGCTATTAGGCACAGAAGGCAGTGTTGCAGGCGAGGTCCCAGGGTGACTATCAGGAGGGCGTTGACAGATCAGTGATTGTGCGGGCGAGATGGAGGGCCAGACCGGAAGACATAATGGACACTAACCGTGCAGTATCTATGACATGCCTTCTTTAGTATCTATGGGTAAACCCATACCCCTACCTACAGATATGGTACTGTGACTGTGTGGGTACGAGTAGGTCCTCCAATACCCATTGATATACCTGTGCTATTCTCTAGCCCTATGTGATAGGCAGAAGTCTCTAGTTAGGAGAGCATGATCTTGCTTATTCCCCTTGATAAAACTGAGTCAAAACTCAAAGATAAACAATGCCCAGGATGGAAATGGAAAGTGCACTTAGCCAAGTGTTAGTGTCAAGAGTGGTTGTCAGGGGAACCTCCCTTTTGGCCCCTCGGAGATGATTACAATTCCAGTTCTGACTCTGGTCTAGCCCTCCATCTCGCACACACAATCACCCATAGCTGACTATATACTGCTTGTCCGTAGCTGCCACTGTTGGGCACAGAAGGCTTGGGCAGCGTCGCAGGCAAGGTCCCAGGGGAACCGTTGGGAGGGCGTTGACAGATCGGTGATTGTGCGGGCGAGATGGAGGGCTGGACCAGAGACACTATCGGAATCGGACCGGAATTAGATCGTCTCCAAGAGGCTGAAAGGGGGGTCCCCCTGACACTGGGGCACAGAAGGCCTGGGCAGTGTCACAGGCAAGGTCCTGGACCATTGGGAGGGTGTTGACAGATCTATGGATAGTGGGCCAAAGGGGAGGTTCCCCTGACATCTATGTAAAGGTCCAAATCAGACTTCAAAGCATGTGACTGGGAAATAGTGTTGCTGTGAGCCCAAGCTGACTTGTCCACGCTAAACTTGGCTTATTTCAAATCTGTCTGATTAAGTTGATTGGGGCTTGCATTGCCCAACATGGAAATTCAGTATATGTCCTGGCTTTTAAAACCAATTTCTTTGCTCAATGGCTTCAGAGCATGAAGAAACTAATGTACCACTTCTTGGATGAAGTAAAAGTCAGATATTTCATAATATTTGACTCTTGCCGTCATCAAGTGACAGAAGTGACCATGTCACTCGATTGAAGAGCTGAGTCATGAGCTGCAGATTCAGCGGCTCACACTGACACTGGTGGCAATGCCAATGGCGGTTGGCAATGGGGGGTCCAACGGCGGCTTGAAAGGAAATTTTTTTCCTTTGTTGCAAAGAAAGAAATCTTTGTCTGCACCAAGGCTGCCCTTAGACCCCCCATTTACAGGCCGCCATTGGGCTTGCACCTGGTGTGAGCTCGAACTCGGCTGGTGGCAACACTGCTGGGAAATTACTAGGGTGCTGTGAGTAACTGTGGTTTCGAAACAGTTCCAAAACCGGTTTCAAAACACGTGTGAGTTTTGAAATCCACGGCCAGTTGACCCGGTTTCGAAACCGACACGTGATGCCCCGGGGAACCCGGGCCCGGCTGTCAGGGCTCAACACCCTCCCAATATCACCTGCACTTACCAGCAGAAGGCCAGGCAGATGGTTTTCATGGCAGTAGGGCTCCGCTGCTGCTCCGGTTGGGCTTGGCCCATAGTGTACCTCAGGATTATGATACCCGGCGCTGTCCCGAGCTGCCGAATGTCAGCAGACTCCCTCGGCTGGCCGGTTTCAAAACTGTTTCGAAACGGGGGAGGGGGGGTTTCGAAACCAGTGTGAGTAATGTTTTTTGCATTACTCACAGCACCCTAGAAATTACCAAATAAGGTAGTTTCCACATCATGTGTATACATGCAGGCTGGTAGCACTGAGCTATCGGCAATTGGGTGCCCATTATTGGCACCTGATTTCCTACAAAGAAATCCAGCTCCAGATACACAAAACCTTGTCTCCATTAACCAGTTAAAATTCACGGTGGCGCACAGTGCAACACTTTTAAGGGCTTCTATATCAGACTATATGAGTGCATGAACAATTTAATGCATACAGTGTCTTTGCTATATTATTTCTATGTTACAAAGTAAAAGCACTAGGAAATTGCTACATGGCTTCATCTCATTCTCATTTGTTGTGCAGCCTTCCACTCATCTGCAGTCTTGTACTGATTAAATAGCTGCAACAAGGCCTCGGCTAATTGGGTTAATAGTGGTCTCCTCATCAAGTCTCCACAATATGTCCTGCGAGTAGTGGGTCCGTAAAATAGACATTCGACTTGGATGTAGAGCGTCAAGGGATCTGTCCCGAACTTGTAGAAATCTGCAACCTTGGTGATGTCATTGTAGAAGAACAAGGGAAGAAATTTGTCATATATGTGTGTCTGCTCAATTTGAAAGAGAAACACCTCCAGATCCCAGTAGTCATCGTCCTCTGCCAAAATGGTTACCTGCCAGTGTTGGGGGCTTGGAGGCAATGGCTGATAGTTGAAACGTAGCATACTTTCACCGTCGTGTACACAATCCGTCCGCAGCATTTTACGACTGATACGAGAGACGCTGCCCAGAGTTCCTACTGCAGTATTCCACTCATCTGCAGTCTTGTACTGCTCAAAGAGCTTTAACAAGGCCTCGACTAATTGAGTTAATCGCGGTCTCTTCATGAAGTCTCTACAATATGTACTGCGAGTGCTGGGTTTGTGAAACAGACGATCGACTTTATTGTAGAGCGTCAAGGGATCTGTCCCGAACTGGTAGAAATCTGCAACCTTAGTGATGTCGTTGTGGAGGAACAATTTGTCGTATATGTGTGTCTCGTCGATTTGAAAAAGAAACGCCTCCAGATCCAAGCACTCATCGCCCTCTGCTGAAATGGTTGCGTGTTGGGGGCTTGGAGGCAATGGCTGATAATCGGAACGTGGCATGAAACCTTCACTCCCGTGTACACAATCCGTCTGCAGCACTTCACTACTAATACGAGAGACGCTCCCCATAGTTCCTACGGCAGTATTGCTGATTTGTGCAATGGCCGCAAAAGGTGTAGAATTGGCCGGGGTGATGTGGA